CCCCCCCCCCCAAAAAAAAAAAGGTGTGAGTTATTGATTCGGAGCCGCGTGAACGTCCAAATCGCCCCTAGTATATTCGCGGTCAAATACTAACTGTGTGGTAGAGTGTGAGTACTTTACATACTATACATTCAAATACATGTACACACATCTTCTCGAAATGATTGATCCCTATGGATTGGGCTCGTGAGGGAAAGCACACTTTGACATTGACATCAAGGGTACGGCGAGGTATGCAGTGATAATATACGCAGGCAGCGAGGTCTATTCAATAATATGACTCCATCACAACATACCAAAACAACAATTGCTCAGGACACAACATCTATTTTTGACCCGTATTCGACCGCACCACTTAGCACGCTTTTTCCGCTGTCCTACGCACTTCAAATTCAAACACCAATTAGTCTACCTTTGATTCGTATGCGACCACACCACTTGGCACACTTTTCCTCACTCGTGTCCTATGCGCTTCCAATTCAAACAATTAATCATCTTCCAACTCAATCATGTACTTCTTGACACTTTTCGCCGTTCGGTGTGCTTGCCAGCACTATGTTCCTTCCTGTATCTTGTACTAGGTTGTCCGTTGTCAGATTCTTCTCCAGAAGCGCCACATTGATGTCTTTACCGATGTCCACCAGCTTGATGGTATGCTTGATGCCCTCTTCCCACCTCGGATTTGGAGTCACCTCCACCACTTTATTTCGCAAACTGCCACCCAGCCTTTGAAGTCTTAAATATACATGTGCACCAATCATCGCCGCCCTACTTCGAAGACTCGGTCTACCTCGTGTGTCACAATAAAGTTTGTAATCCTTTTGCACGTGTCTCGCTCCCTTCCGGCTAGCAATCGTCCCCTTTGCACCCTAAATACGGTACCTCCGATACCAAATGTTCCCTCAGGTCGATTGTTCCGGCTGCTAAATACCACGTCCCTATACTGCTCCAACTCTACCCCATGCTCCCACGTACACTTACGCCAACCCCGTCCAATGCGTGTTATACGAACCGCCCCCTTACCACTGATACCTCGACAAATCCTGTGCCTTGATATTCTACACGGGACCAATTCCTTGCTATCCACTTCTTCCACCAGAATTCGTCCTCTCCTCATCATACACCAAGACCCAGTCCCCCTCCGTATACTTCGGCCTCTTCCCCACGATCGAATGGACGTCTCGAATGTGCGAGGCATCCTCTGCCACAACCGCCTGAACGCCACCTGTTGCGCCGCATTCGAAGAAGACATAACCTCAGCGGGAGGTTCGTCGTTAGGCATTTTAGCTTCTTCCTCCTCCTTCACCTCAAACACACGCCTGAACTCCTGATTTTCCACAAACGAGCATCGTCCAGACTAACCACCTCTAAGGGCCCACCTCCATATCCCAAAATGTCATTACATCAGGCTTCACCAGACACGAGCTATCTCCCACCCTTCTCAGAGGATTTTCAGACGTTCCATTTTCGACCAACGCCTCCTGCGGGAAGCATTTCTTCCCAAACTGCACACGGTTCGTCCCCACCTCCGCGTCACTGCCATCTAGGTTGGTTAAATTTACTCCACCCATGACATCGCATTCGGAAGCCTTCGTCTTTTACCCGTTGATTTTACCACAACTTTACCATCACCATCAGCTTCCACTATTCCAACAGCGTTACCCTACCCACTCCTCAAGGCGGTGATCACCTGCAACTCCTCCGGTATTTGAACCGACAAAAGCCAACAGTTTCTTCATCTGACATACCTTGGAATTTGCTCGCTGGAAATTCAGCCCAACTATCTCTCCCCAAGATCAAATCATGTCCCATCGCTGAGTCTGGTACGATATACGCATACACACTCGTCCTTACCGTCGTGTACCGAAATGACCAGGCGCCAATTTTTTTGCCACCCTTTCACATTTCAATATTTAATCTCACCAACCAACGGTGCCCCACGGAAACCACCCCACCCATCGTTCATTCAGCCCCGTTTCGATTACATCATATGACGCTGAACCGCCATCCAACATCTGTTGCACACACCTTTCTTGCACAAAAGATGCCGGACATCCGGGGTGTCTAACAGAGCCTCCTACGACTTCACCTTGGTCGCATTTGACCCTGCAAACACTTGCACCCTCGTCGCGTGCCGACGTCAATCCATCGTCAAATCCCCACCGACCGACCGAGTAAATGGCGACAGGTAGTCCGCCGCTTCACCTGCAGCAAGCACCAAAGGAGGTGGAGGATACACCGAGTCACCCCCTTGTCCTTGCGATCTGTTACTTCCGATGCTTGACCAAAAGTTCCCGCCTTCTGCGAGGCATGCACTGCTCCCGTAGCATCACCCCTTTCGCCTTTCTCCTCTTCGTCTATCACCGGTAGAGTATCAGTCTCATTTTTGCTTCCCTACTCACTCTTGATACATCACGACTGACAGCGACACCCCATTTATTTTCAGTGATTCCGTAGTCTCGTCACCCTGTTTGGCACCATTACAACCAGCAGTGCGCTCCACCTGAGGATCCAGCAGACACCTTACCGCTCTCGGAGATTTCGCCTTGCGTCTCTCCTTACTTTTCAGTATTTAACGCATTCCCCGCTGGCATTGCGTTGCCCTTAACATTTCCCGTGGAGACAACGCTAGACTTCGTTTGACCGGACGAAGGGGATGTGTTCGGCATCCCTACCACTGAGAAGACCCTGTTCTTCTTACTAGTGATCCTTCCCTGAGGTTGTGCACGTGCATCTTGCGACACATCATGACTAAGAATTTCTTGCGGGGGCCTCCTCCCCAAGATACGTTCTTGCTCCCACGGCCTACGCCAGTGCAGTTCGATTTATAAGCACCCAAAACCACTCGCAGTTTAGGATAATTACTTCCACCTGCTTGGAATACTCATTAGATACAAACGTCACTTTAAAGTTCGGACGACATACCCTTCGTCCCCAGACCTCTATCGACGCCGTGCTGCACCGATCGGTCCTTTTCCTCCCCGACAACCCCCCCACGAGTCTTCTTCGATGTTCTCGCGTGGTGACTTTTGTACCTTTACCTCAGCCCCCCCGAGAGTCTGTTGTAACCCCCGTATTTGACTCTTCTTTCTTCCCTTT